CAATTCACTCTAAATTTTAAAATAACGGAGATAAACGTGATCTGCTGAGCGAAAAATTTGCAATGCTACGCACTTGTACGACGAAAACAACACATGCGGGTGCGGCGTCCTCTTAAGTGGTCCAGATATCCAACAGCTTGTTTCCAATCCATTCTCTTTTAGTGCTCATAACCATACTATCTATTACCATGAAATTATAATTTACCAAATACTTAAAATGAAGATGGCAGAAGGTGGTCTAATTTCTGGTGAATTATTATTTGATATTTCCTTCCCATATCAATAATACCATAAATTAAAATAAATAAATAGTAGGTACACAATTGTATAGTTTTGTTTATTAAGGAAATTGTTAAAAATAAAATTGGATTCTTTAGAAATAAAAACTATATTTTATAACTTTATTCATTAATTAATTAAAAACAATAAATAGAACTTAATTTAAAGAATCAATATAGCATTATACCAGTTGCATAACTGGGGGTTAGTGATTTTTGACATTAGTAAATAAACAATAGCCTTCAAAGTATTTTCACTTTAAAGTTTTTGTTTACACATATAATGCAAATTCCTACAATCTATGTGAATGCGAATAAACAAAAATCAGCATGTATCTCGTTGCACCATAGTGCAACAGAACAGCGTGATCAGAATATAAATCAACACACACCTGCTGCACACCCCTTATTTGTGTAGCATAGTCATGTCTATGCATAGACATGAACGCATCCACCATTCTCTGCTGTCAAGGTCARACTGACTTGCCTCGCAACAGCAAGTGAGGCCTCTTAGTCTGTGTGACTCTATGGGATGGGACCCCTTCATTATAAATGGAAATATGTTTATTTTAAAATACATATTGTAAAATAAATAAAACACAAAATATTATATACATAGGTAATATATGAAATTATAGTAAAATAGTTCTAAACAAATTTTAAGAAAAATTTGTTGATTCAAAATTCATTCAGATTTAGAAAATGTTTAAACAATAAAATAATAATCTTTGATATCTAAAAAACTATACAGTACTAAATAGTAATTTATTAAGTATTACAACAATTAATACAGACATGGTATGTATATCATTATATATTATTATATTTGAATACATGTTCTATTAATAGTTTATTATCCATTTGAATCTGAAATGATTTTGAGGTGAATCAAAGATAGAAAAAAATCTATATTTCCTCAAAAAAAGATATATTTTAACCAAAAAACAAAGAATAACATCATGCAAAAAATACCTACCTATAATACATTCTTCAGAATTAAACATATGCCTCACTCCATGATACTTAATCAAACCTAACGCTAGTGATATTTAAATCGAATAATGTTTACCTAATAACAAATGTAAAAACTTATGAAAATGTCTTATCACTGAATGACATAATTTACATCAAAACGGAAAGTGTAAAGCATAATTAACTCTCTAAAATTGATATTTTTCCTTAAATTATATTTACCTGCAAAACTCTTAATGAAACTACTGAAATTATAAAAATATAACCCTTACAAAAGAACAAAAGGATTATTCACACATCATTGATCCAAAATTCTAATTTACATAAGACTTAATGGTATGGTCATAATATTTCCTTGCCAATAAAATATATAGGAACTATTATAGATAAAATAGTTAAATCCTATATGCAAAATATAATGATCAACTTTTTTTAACAAACTAATTCATGTAAAACGCACACATTACTTTAAACCAGCGTTTCTTAAACTGTGTTCCGCGGAGATCACTTCAGGGTTCCGCGAAGCTTAAGTCATTTTTTTCAAAATTTTCAAGAAAATTACTTAAAAATGTCTAACTAAARAATGTTTGTATATTAAATAATAATGTATAATATGTCATATGGAATAGTCTATCTCTATACTCTAACAGTCTAACCTCTATACTTCTATAATATATTGTGTTCTTATACTGCTTATACAGTTATACAGTTATACAGTTTGTATACAGAAATAATATTTGAACGTCGTTGATAAAAATACTAATTGGTTATGGCCGTCCGCGATAGCGTGAACTTAAGAGAAACGACCSTCAATAACGATAAGCATATGAGTAACATAGGTACTAGTACTATTCATAAATAATATTTGTGTGTCGTTAATAAAAATACTGATTGGTCACGGCCGTCCGCGATAGCTTGAAAAATTCATGCTTTTAAGAAAAAGTTAGATTTTTGGAAAATTTGTATGAGCTCCAACGAGTTTGATTGCTTTCCTACAATTAAATGCTTTTCGGAAGAGGAAAAGGTCGAAATTAATGAAATTTTCATTGAGGAAATTATTCAGCACCTCACTGGATTGAGTGAAGGATTCAACCAGTATTTTCCAAATGACCAACAGGTGAAATATAA